GTTTTTTTGTATAGTACAAAGTTATTTTTTTGCTATGATAGATATATTATGATAGGGACGGAATTTACACTGAAATGTTAATACGTGACGGAGTTTACGTTTTCCGATAATAATTTAAAGTGTCTTATATAAAACTTTATGTAAAGAAGGCACTATATAGGTACTTACAAAGTGGATGCAACTTTTCTTTTAATTTTTCCTATGCTTGTGGGGTATCGTCAGTGGTGTTGTGCTAATTTTTTTTTTTACCGGAACGCGTATATATAATTATATAGACAGGGCCGATCCTGGGTAGGCGGCCGCTCTGTGCGATCTCATGTCCCAAATTTGACGACGACGGGGGGGGGGGATTTCCCCCAATTTTCGCCCGTCGCCAGGATCGGCTCTGTTCACGGTTCGGAAAAACAAGCCGGTTCGTTCCGGTTTTTGTTCCGGTTCGGGTTCGGTTCAAACCCTTGTTTATAATAATACATATAAAAATTCGTCAAAAATTAGAAAAAAAAAATCAGCAATTCTTTTTAATTTTTTTTTCAATACGTCAGCCAATTCACGTTATCAGAAATCATCTTTAGTTCCGGAACGCGTTCATGTCCAAAAAAGAAGTACCGGAACGACGTTCCGGAGCGTTCCGGCTCGACAACACCACTGGGTATCGTTAATAAATAGATCTTTGCAATCAGATCACAAATACACAAGGTAAACCACCTTTTACAAAACAATACATAGCTTGATTAGGTATTTATAGACATAAAAATGTACAAAAATTATTAAGAGTCAATATAAGCCTCACTTTACTTAAGCTTCTCTAACGTCTCTTCTAGCTAGGGGTAGGACAGAAAGTCCTAATTTTCCCCTATTATTTTTTACAACAAGTACATAAAATTTTGTTATAAGACGTACAAAAATCACGTAGAACACGATACACATTTGCTTCAATCGTCGTTTCTCTTTGTTTTACTGCCTCTATACTAATCAATAGTTAAAACTTTCTCATTGACAATGGCGAAAAAAGAAATCCTTCCAAAGAAGCTAAAGTTTATTTAACCTTGTTTTTAAAAAGGAACAATTAAGATATAACCTCATGGAGACTATTTCGCCATTTTTAGTAATAAATTTTCACAAAAGAGAAATAAGTTTTCAAAATTGAATATCTAATTGATAAATAATCTAGCCACCCTAATGTAGCTTAACCTAGTCAGAAAATAATTAATGAACTCACTAACAATTAATCTGATCTATTCTTTCTAATTCACCGTTAAACATTCCAATAAAACTGTCAAATCCTGAAGACGTTCTAATCTTAATCTAAATCATTAGACGCTTTTAATTCATCTTTAACTGATCTTCAAATGTTTTAATTGTTTCAGTCTGCACAAGAATAACGGGTTGATAATTGACACAAGGTATTGCTTTTTGTTTATTAATACAATTATTATCGCAAATTAAAAAAAGGCAGGTAGGATGATCAATAAATAACTGAAATTAGTAATAGTACTCACCAATAAAAGTACCTGTTCTACTTTGCATTTCATCCATTTTCTTTTGTTTCCTACTTATATATCTCTTGATAGCAATTGCAAGAAAAATAACAAGAACTAATACGATAATGAAACCGATTCGGTCACGTTGAAGTATCATTTTCTCTATTTATTAATGTAGGATAACAATTTTCCCTTTTACTGATGATAGAATGCCTAAATGTATAGATCACATCGTATCACATCACATCCTGGCTTATGTTAAAATAATTATTTGATTTTTTCACTAGGTATAGAATCGTTCAGAAAGCATATACAAACGATTAGATAAAGTTAACAATATGTATACGTAGATTGCTAGTGTTAATATTTACCGTATTTACAATATGTATAGTATCACAAGAAAAAGAGAGAAAAGGAGAGAGAGAGAAGGTTATTAGAACGGTATCTTGGTACCGATTTAGAAACTATGTGGACACAAATGACTTCTCCGTTTTAAACAAAAGAATATCTCGAAATTCTAATGGAATCAACAAAAATCATGTTACAGAAGTTTTTAGTAGGTAGGTATTAAGTTTTCAAATACCGAAGAAAACTATTGTCGGTAATCTTAATTAAATTAATTACGATCATTCCAATTGGCTGACGTTTTTTGGTAACCTAAAATCTTGATGATTATTTAATAAGTATTATTATAAACGGAACGTGACAGTAGCCATACCTAAAAAGAGAAGCGCGGATAGGTGGAAAATATTTAGAACAGGTAACTTTTTCGTCAAAAATCTTAACAAGAGTCGTTCAGAGAAGGGTGTAAAAAAGGGCGCAAGAACTATTAAGAAAGGGAATACCAATTCGGGTTTAGAGGAAACAGAGAAAAGCGGAAGGCCATTCTAACTATACGGGTAAGAAAAAGGAAAGAGCGCGTACATAGGAATCGTAAATTTAGAAAAAGCTTTTGACAATGTTAAATACGACAAGAAGTTAGATATACTTATAATGTAGGGATGATAAACAGAGATAGAAGAGTGATACATAGTAGTTTGTATGAAAAATAACAGACAGTTATAGAGTATAGGAAGAAAGTCACATAAGGATGCACACTGTCATCGTTACTTTTTAATTTACACATAAAAGCACGAGAAACATCATTAAAGAGAGGACAACTTTAGGGAAAGGTTATTATGCTTATATTTGCTGATGATATAGCAGTATTCACACCTAAGTTTAGAGATAGCTTTAAATAAAATGGAAGCGATATTGACAAATGGAAATAAATAAAAGTAAAACATAAATACTGGTATGCATGGGAAATAAAAGTAGGGAAAGATCGAATATAAAGATAGAAAATGAAAAATTAAAAGAGTGGCCGATTTTAGGTACCTAGGAAGTCAGATAAGTCAGGATGGAAGGAATAGTTGGAATATAAAGCAGGGGATAGCGCAGGGTCGAGTCGCCTTCAATAAAAAGAAGGCACTTCTATGCTTGCGATCGGTTAATTTAGAAATTTGAAAAAGATTGTTAAAAGATGAGGATACCGTGAATAGAGAAGAAACGAGTAGGAGCAGAGTACGACACCTTCTTAAACATGAAGAAATAGGACTTGAGCAGAAGAAGTAAACCTACATTAGACTACTGTTCGTAAATAGTTACGGATGTGGGTTGTTCTAGTTATAAAGAAATGCGAAGGTTAGCTCAAGATATATAAGAAAAAATAGAGGTGCGTGTCCAACCAGACTGTCGACCTTATAATGGTGAATATTTGTTTAGGTAAAAACGTAATAAAAAGTATTTCATCCGCCGGGAACATATCCAAAAATATGTACCAATTGTTACGATTGTAAGAACTGTATTTATGCGATAGTCGAATTTCAATCATTTCGTGTAAATATTTTTATTTAGTAGTCTAAATACTTTTAGAATAATAGAAATCATACTAGGTATGAATGACCATTTTGTAGCTTTTATAGCTTTCATGAGTTTTAAATACTATTTTTTGCTAAAAAATAGTGACTTATTTTGAAAAATAGAGGTTTTATCTCCTATTATAATTCAGCTGACAGAAACAGATGCCATTTTAAAAAAGGTCATCATATACTTTTTTTGGAATAGGGATTGACTTTAACCCTTCCGAGAATTAAATGATAGATAATACAGTTTTGGTGGATGCGCTGGGCATAGATGCAGTAAACCAGCGTTTCTTAAACTTTTTAATACGTACAATCCTTATCTTCTTCTGTCGAGAAACGCCTGATTTCCTTCAAAGTAGTTTTAATATAACATTTTTGCTATGAATTATATATTTTAATAAAGTAAGCGTATATCACTTGAGAACGGTTAGACAATTTGGCTATTTGTTTTTTTTTTAAATGTTCGTAATCGTCCGAATGAGACTTTTAGAGAAAGAAAAATTAAAAAAGTTGTTCTAAAAATTGGAAAGTTCGAGCTCTTTATTATTACAAATATACTTAATATGAGGTTAGGTTAACTTAGATTCCATCGTTTTATCTCATGGGGGTATTAATTTTTGTTGTTTTAGCTTGAATATTAAAATCAAAACTTACGTGTTCGAAAAAAGCACTAAATTTAGCGGAACTCTTTGGTGATCTTCACGGAACACCAGGGTTCCGCAGAACACAGTTTGAGAAATGCTGCAGCAGATATTCGCGAGTTATTCTTCTTATCGATTTGTTCACGTTAACGAATACTATAGATGTTGACTATGTAATACACTTTAATACAAATATAAAACACTAATAAATATTTTTAGCCAAAGAAATCAGAAATTTTTGCTTGTTTCTGAGGATTTCTTATGTTTTGTGAAATGGCTCTTTCGCTCATACATCGGGGCATTAACGTGGACGTCACTCTTCTGTACATTGTGTTATTACTACATTTATATATAGCGGCGTCCACAACTCTACCTAATGAAACAGTAATAAGCACTTATCGATTGAAGACTTTTTTCACCTTCTGTTCAATTTGATACTCATTAATAATAATACCATTTCCGAATTACTTTTCGTACTGATTCCATACAACACATTGAAGTATAGATTTTTAAGGTCAATGGAAATTTGTTTCTATAACTGAAAGTTTAGTTTGTTCACGGTATACGGTGGTATAGCATATTTAGTATTCTGTTCATATTATACGGAATTTCGATAATGCGATATTCACCTATCTATCGTATGCAAAAATAAATGTTTCTCTGTGTAACGAATAATGTCCCCATATCACTCATCCGATTGCGATGACGTTTTGGTAGAGTTGTTGTGCACAATACACACCTACGCGAAAGTTTTTGAATTAACACAGCCATAAAAAACATACTTATATTTTTTTTTTCGAGACAAGTCGTTCAATGGCAACAAATCTATTATTAAAGCCACTTTAACAGATTTTTATCTTGCAAAAGAAGTATTATTCATAGGTTCCATAATTTCATTTTAATTTATTTTCAAGGAAAATACTTTTGTTTTTCTTTTCTTATATATTTTATTTTTTAATACATATCATATCGATTATAAAATTGAAATTGAAGGTCTTATAATACGTATATTTATCTAAAATAAAAATAGAAATATTACTCTCTCATACACTTGAGTTGAATCTCGACGAAAGCATAGTTAATAAATAATGTACAATTGTTGATCCCACTAATCACATTAGCGATTTTATTACTCGTTCCAACAATTTATTTTCTTCTACTTCTCTCACATCTTTTTAATATTTACCAGAATTATTCGTAAAATTAGGATTATATGCTGGCTGTTTCTGATTACCTTCGGTTTGTACTTCTTCGTAACTTGGAGGGGAGTTACCTACACAAATGGATATAAAATAAATGATTCTCATAATGTGTATTATGTGATATAAAACTTGGTTAGTAATGTTCTATTTAATTCTATGTAATTGTTTTACCCAGGATGATACGTACTAATCTTTAATACACACATAAATTGCCGTAAAACTACATACGTTTGTTACGGTAAAGATAAGGTACGTCATATAGCGATTTTTTGAAACAACTTCCTGTTGAAATTAAAATAAAATTATGAAAACGTAAATTGTTTGAAATCTACAAACATATATAAACACAATAAAACGAAATAAAGAAGACTTTTTCTTTTCTTTTTAAATGATTGCTTTCTGAAAAGGCATTAGATTTAGTAACATCAGACAATTTTTTTGGATAAGAAAATCAGAATTATTTTTTATAATTAAGTAAGCAATTACTTCTGACAATAATAATAAGAAAATAATAATAAAATCGCCCTNAAAAAAATATTATTTTATTTACAGCATTTAACGGTTTTCAAGGTAATTACCTCTAAAACTTTTAATAACTCTATAGTATTCATTATTTATTTATTTATTTTCTAATTCTACGTTTCTACTCACTGAGAAGTATACTCACATGTTTCATTAGTAGTGTAGGGTGGAGCTGAAGTAAATTGAGGATTGCTTTTGCTTTCTATATTATAATGCGGAGTAGATACCGCTTGTGGTTGAGATTGCTGGGGTATTTGAGGAAATTCGTTTCCCGTGGGGTACGGAGGACTCTGTATATAGGTCTGGGGCGAATAATTGCTGTATGGGTTTGGAAAACCGGATACATTTGAAGACGGCTGCGTGCCCATCATAGGTGTACCATGAGAAACCGGTATTTGTCGATTAGCTGTACCGTATTGATGATATACTGATTGAGTTGTTAATACGCCTTGACCACCAGCAACACTAGGACTACCATAAATTATTGTGCTTTTAGCTAAAACCATGGAAAATATAATGTAAATATTGGTTATTGTCGCTTTGAAGAATTTTCTTGTCTTTACGAGGAAATTCACTTTTTCAAAAAGTTTTAATACTTGCAAATACATATGAAGAGAACTCTGGTTCACTGAGCACTCATAATATTAATATTTAATGGTGACCCATTGGACGTTTTTATTTTCCATAAGGCTAAAATACTGGTGTGCAAGGGAAGAAAAAGTAGGGAAAGAGTGAATATAAAGATAGGAGACGAAAAATTAGAAGAAGTGGCAGGTTTTAGATATCTAGGAACTCAGATAAGTCAGGACGGAAGGAGTAGTAAGGATATAAAGCAGAGGATAGCGCAGGGTCGTATCGCCTTTAATAAAAAGATGTCACTTCGAAAAGGATTGTTCAAGGTGTATGTTTGGAGCAGGGCGCTGTACGGGTGCGAACCATGGACAGTGGGAGCGGCGGAAAAGAAAAGGTTAGAAGCGTTCGAAATGTTATAGGCGAATTATGAGGATAACGTGGGTAGAAAAGGTTATAATGAAGAGGTATTAGAAAGAATAGGAGAACAGAGGACCCTATGGAAGTCAATAAAAAATAGGCGAGATAGGTTGGTAGGACACCTTCACAGGCATGAAGGTCTAGTCAGAGACATATTAGAGGCAGAAACAGGAGTTAGGAGGGGTAGAGGTAAACCTAGGTTAGATTACTGTTCACAAATAGTTAAGGATGTGAGTTGTTCCAGTTTTAGGGAAATGCGAAGTTTAGCTCAGGATAGGAAAGAGTGGAGGTACGTGTCCAACCAGTCCTAGAACTGACGACCTTATGATGATGATTAATCTGCATCTGAAGTAATATTAAAATGGATTTGCGTATATATCCTAGAAAGCTTTTTAGCTTCCACAGAGTGAGTGCGGCAGGCTCCTTCGCATTACAATCTCTGTAATTTTTAGACTTTTGTCGTACAAAGCTGGTTTTCTTTCAGCTTGTTGGTAAAATCTGCTTGTCCATTCATGATGGCCACCAACTAATAATAATTTTTATTTTAAAATTACAAAAGTGTAAACTCAACTGTTCTGTCGTCAAGTGCGTGCAGAGACATTGCTGTCCTATGCTGTAAGTCTGTTGGCAGACTGTTCATTTGGGTAGAGTTTGTGACAAGACTCAACTGAAAAGTTGATCGACTGTTGTGTCGGATAATGCGTGCGTATTCGTATATAGCATGGACTTCACATGACTAACTGAACCGTTGGACAACAAAACAGTTCCAATCTTACACGAACGAACCAAATTCATCGAAACGGGCATAAAAATGTATACACAAAAGTTATCGTGTTTTTTTTTCGCTAAGACAGCACTTTAATTTATTAGCTTTCATAGTTTAGAAATATTTTTAAGAATACGATTAATTTATCCTTATACCGCGATTTTGATTTTATTTGATTTCATCATCACGCTACAGGCAGTCTCAATAAACCACCGCCCAAGCCTGGTCGAATAAAACCAGACGGCACAAAAAGAATGTTATCATATCATATGCGGCAACGTATGTATGTGCATTCGTGCAGACGGAACCGGCAATTTTAAAATCTATCTCAATTTTGAGGATCAGATTGCGTACCGTGCGTGCTGATGCCGACGATTTGCGATACCAGTCGGAATTTTATTGGATGGGTGTCGCACATATTACCTACATGTAATCAGACAGCGAGACAGCGTCTTTCATGTTCTATTTTTGTATTTATAGGATTAATGCTTCCCACTTGTATATGATTAGGGTTTCCGCCTTCTTTTCTTCAGTATTTTCAGGAAATAAAAAAGTTTTTTAATTTTCACATTTTATTTATTCATTCAAGTAGATCTGACACTTGTTGTGACTTATCTACTAATCTAGTACTTCTGAATATCGTTTGTCATTTTCCGTTAGTACTTTTACAGACGATTGACACTAATAAATAATAATAATTAGCTTAATTCCGACGTTCGTGCTTTAAGGCGAAATACCTTTTGTACTACATTTACTATGATCATTTACTTAAAGAGAATACCAATTATCTACACCCTGTATTTAAATCAAGTTAATTTGTTACGATTGTTGCTGGTGCCCACGTATTACACATAAAATGTACATTTATCTTATCAGCTATCCATCTGTTTTATGTGAGATGACAAACAAATACCTGTCAGTCTTCTATTCAAAAACTTGAGTTTTTTTTAACATTAAAATCCAATTTTAATATTACACTTACGTACAGTATGTCATTAGATTGGAGTAGAAAAAGATAAGTTTACATTATTTCGGTAATTATAATTTGTACAGTTATTGTCTTACCAACATTATATCCTTTTCCTGCCGAGTCAATTTTAATTATTGATAGTAATATTTTATTAATTGTTTTACTATTTTTAATAAGAAAATTGAATTATTTTAATTAACTAATAAATAATAATTGTAATCTACTCACTTGATCGGTTTCTTAACCTGCAGCAAATAATTATTCCTGCCAATAAAATAAAAACTCCTACCACGGCAAGAATTATATACAGGTACTTAAAAAAATTGCCTTCCATATCGTCCATATCCATACCCATTCCCGTATTTAAAATTTTCACTTCTAAAAAAAAGTGAGCAATACCAAAAACCGTCACTCTACCCGTTAACGACGATGCTTCTAATCTGTAGCGTCATACAAGTTTGCCTTTAGATAGATGTACTACATACACAGCATTATAAAACATTGATTACCTGATTATATTGGTTAAGATTAAATTTTGGATATTATTTAATTATCTACAGGTATAAACGATATGTTTAACACTAAACAAAACAATGTTTTATAACATTTTTTTTGGAATTAGTGTTAATAACAAACAAAAAACTTTTATAATATTCTTTTTCTTTTCGTACAAATATATTTCTGTGAGTAATGACGCATTTTTATCAATAATATTAATAAATTAGAGATAGTGATGATAAGGCTGTCGTTTAAAATTTGATAAGGCAAATAATAAATAATTCCAGGAGACCGTGTTTAAGAGAAGTCGAAGGGGGCGCCCGCCCAGGGAGACGAATACTGAAACCGACTTTTCCAAAATGTCTATTAATTATTTATGTACCCCGTAACTATATACGCTCAGAGACCAATTAAGAGTAAAGTTCTTCTTAATTCAAGTGACGCTATCCTGTCACCATTATGTATTTTTTATGTTCGCCAACAGTTAATTTAGAAATTCGAAAATCATTGTTAAAAGTAAATGTCTGGAGCACGACTCTATGTAGGTGCGAATCGTGGACGGTGGGCGCGCCGGAGAAGAAAAGATTAGAAACGTTTGAAATATCGTATTACAGGCAAATGATGAGGATACCGTGAAAAGACATATTAGAAGCAGAGGCAGCAGTAAAGAGGAGTAGATATAGACTTAGATTAGATTCGTGTTCACAAATAGTTAAAAAAACCTTCAACTCAAAAAGCTATACCATTCTCGAGTAAAGCAGCATATTTTATTTAGATAAAAATGTTTTCAGTTCGAAATCTTAATATTTCCCCAGATAAAGAGAAGTTATTGAAAGGGGCCCAAAAACCAAATCGGGAGTGTTCATCATATTTTGCGATTTGAAAATCACAATAGAGTTGCAACATAATTTACATGTGTGTGTTCGCGTACGTATATTCGTAAGATGTCAATCAAGCCTATTAATGTCAATATGATCTGAGATAATTTAATAGCATTCAAACTGTATTTTGTTTAAATAAAAATACTACAAAAAATAGTTTAGTGAGCACGTATTCAGGGCCGGACTGGCCCGGGATGCAGGGGTACAAATGCACCCCAGGCCAAATGACTTAAAAAATGTGAAAAAAAGAGAAATTAAAAAAAACTTAATAAATTTTTAAAACAAGAGCAAAGACCGAGGCAAAGACAAACGCAAATTTCCTCCTAACTTCTTAAATTTATTTAAAAACGAGTGCTGTTAAAATTTGTGCACTTTCCCTTCTAAACCAGTTCATTTGGTTACATCGTACCCCGGGCCAAAATCTTCAGTCCGGCTCTGTTCTAGTTAGGCTATATTTTATATTTGTCGGCTGAACAAATCTTTCTTAAAATTTCTGGTTTCGTTTTTAGGTACGAATAGACCTCAGTACACTATTTATTTATGTTAATCTTTCTAATCAAAATGGCTTTCAATACTGAGACGCTCAACTGTGCTTTTTCACTCGTCCATATTTTGTTCATTTGAGAAAAGACTTTTTCGACAGGTGCGTTACTTCGAGGCAGACACAAGACGTACTAAATAATTATAGAAAAGTTCGTTAAGTGGATATTGTTTGCACAGAAGTGCTGGAATAATTCCACCCAGCGGTTTTCAGCAGTTAAATTCTTAGCATCCCAGCTAGTGATTTTTTGGTCTGTCGTAAAGCTAGAAATAAGCGAAAACTCGTCGAAAACTTTGGTGTCCTGATCCTTACCTGTTTGCTGGTCTGCTTCTTTCAAAACTTTCCGTGCAAACAAGGCAAATGCAGTTATCTGATTCATCTTCAGAAGAAGTCAATTCTTTAGTTTGCTTAGATTTCTTAACCTTTCCTTTATTTTTTTACTCAAGTTCTTTTTCACGTTCTTTGCCTGTTTTTTCTGATTTTTCTTTTCTGATTCTTTCCTAATTTCTTCTTTTTCGGGAGTGTCTGTGTAGATGGTCGACTTCCTCTTTCTACTACCGCTTGCAGGCAGCTTCCTTGGTGGAGCAATGGGAAAAGGTCTTGTTGATTCCGGTGAGAAAACTGTTGACTGGCTTGTAGATGGCTGACATGGATCAACAACAGGATGAAAGGTCTTTGGCGGCGTATTAGATTGATCCGTTGTAACTGCATCACCTGAATTCTTTGGAGGCGTACTAGATTTACCCATAGCACTTGAATCCAATTGATTCTATATTCAAGCTTGAAACTCGGCTGTTAGTGACGCTTGTTGGTGTTCCAATAGAAATAGATGTCTGATTTGTATCTGGAATAGCCGAACCTGCATTGGTGCTAGATGTTGGTATCTCAATAGACACAGGATGTGATTCATGAATGTCATTTGGGTTTGGGCGGTCAGTCACGAAAGAAGGTGCGAAGTCTAGATCTGTGAAAATGTTTCTATTAAACGGGTAGATACCAGTTGCTTGAAATCCAGCTTGAATATTTCTGCAAGTGAAGACTAGTGGCATAGCAGTAGCAGCAATGCCTGGAATGTCATAAATGCTCATTGTTTTTGCCGGGTTGTTCCGCATCCATACATCACAGCTGGTGTTTATTGCTTTCTTAAATGGACCAAAGCATGACCTATCCAACGGCTGCAGCTTATGCGAGCAGTGGGGCGGAAAAGATAAAACAATTCCGTAATTTTTGCAATAGTCTAGATAATCAATATATATATATATGAGACGAGTGGTTATATAAAACCAAAAGTACTGGATGAGACTTCGAAGTTATAAGAAGCCTAAATCTTGCATCCATCCTGAAGGGTTAGCAGTGCCCGTGGAACCTATAGGACCGTCTTAAAAAAAATGATCTTGGAGCCGGACGCTAGATAAACCAAAAAATGGAGGAATCACATTACCTATGACATTAACTGTAAAAGCTAACGTCGCAACTGTTCCACGTTCTGCTGATGTCACCGATCCAACTTGTTTTATTCTTCGCCTAGCTACAATTCTGTCCGGTTTTTGTACCGTTGTTACTCCCGTCTCGTCAACATTATAGATGTCCTGTGGTTCAAATTTATGACGGTCCATAACCGTTTGCAAATTATCGAAAAACGCCTCAACATTTGTACGATTAAAACTCGTGGCTCTGGACAAACTTGTGGCTTAGCAGCTCTTCCTGATAGTTCGGGATTTCTGGTCATAAAGGCCAAAAACCAGTTTTCTCCAATCTGCAATCTCATTCTCATCCCAAGATCGAGGCCTTGTCAATTTGCACGATTTTGTAAGTTCGTATGCCAGTTTCTTTACCTCTTTTTTGGGGAGACCGAAGTATATATCAGCACATCTTATTAAATATTTCGATAACTCCTTTTCTTGGGCTTCAGAGAACACTTTATTGTGGGGAGAATAACCCATCTTTACAGATTCTGAAGATTCTTCATTGCAACTGTCTCGTTTTCTTTTTTGTATCTAAACAATGACGTTAAATTAACGTTATACACTGCGGCATCTTGTTATTCCCTTGGATTTGATCTCTTCGTAAGCTTTTTTATACAAATCTATACTGCACTTTCCTCGATTAGTAGTTTTTGGACGGTTTCGCGGTATCTAAAAACAAAAAAGAAATGTTACTGCAAAAAAAATCTTAAAACCACATACAATAGTATTAAAGTACTACTAATGGATATTGACTAATATACAAAACAAAAACATCAAAAACACTTACTTTTGATGCTGGAAAAGCAATACACTCGGTCACAGAGCCGCTGCTAGCACTGTTCTACAGGTTCTGACACGAACGCAGATCCATCCTCCTCAGGGACTATCCGGCTATCGCTTCTTGTTTCGTAGTTATTGCACTTGTTTCTATTGACCCCAGTCTCCCCTACACCGTGTCTGTTGAATCAGAAAACTCTTTCAAAGTTTCTACTCGAACGCTGTAGATGTAGAAAAACGAATAAATTTTCACAATGATGCATGTAAAGTGTACAGTAATTAACTGTACGTTACAGGTAAATTAAAAGGATAATTTTGGTGTAACTTTTTCACATAAAACTTGTCGTAAAAAAATGAAGTCATTTGTTTAACTATTTATTTACAAATATATACAAAGGAATCGAATAAGCTCGTCAACGTATTGAAATGTGTTGTTAGAAGAAATGTTAATATATAATAAAAATACTTCTGAACAATTATGGTCAGAACATCTTAGCCGCCTTGAACGGCTACATTCAACAAGTTTACAAGGACATAAAATAGCAAACCCTTTGAAAACAACTATAATAATGATTTAACAATTTGATTTAAAAATTAAATTGTAACTATTTGTAGTTTGAATACGATATCGAATATAATAAGATTTAAGTGTAATAAGATGTAAAGCAATTATGAGAAAAGTAAAACTACCTAACAATAATTGTAGTTAATGGTATAAACTAGAATGAATTATTTTTAACCACTATGCTAAATTGTCCTAAAAGGGAAACCTTTTGTATTTCAAATATTGTAAGTTTTCTTTTTCACTTGTTATCACACATCACATCTCGATGGGTAACGGACGTAACTTTTTATACACCGTTTGCCATTATTTGTTTTCACTGTCACCACACGCACAATTTCGTCTTTACCTGGGTGAACAGCTATTATTCGACCCAGAGGCCAGTGCAAAGGTGGACTGTTCTCTTCTTTTATGATAACAAGGGTGCCGACTTTGATTTGATTACAATTAGGTATATTTCATTTGCTTCTTTCTTACAATTGATTGAGATAATCCCTATGCCAGTTTCTCCAAAAATGTTTCTTGACCTTTGTTATGTGCTAACATAATGACAACATATTTGTTAGAACTTCGTGCAGATCAGCTTCAAGTGCGTTCGCAAGAGAATGTCCAGTTAAAAGGTGGGCTGGAGTAAGGGTTGAAACGTTTGGGTCGGAAGACAATGGAATGAAAGGACGGGAGTTCAATATTGATGCAATTTCCATAATAAACGTATTGAATTGTTCGTAAGTGAACAGTGGTTCGCCTGTTTCTCATAAACCACCGAAATGCGGTGATTTAGGTGGAATAGGATGCCAATTATCGTCCTTATTCGCCAAATCATGAACTAATTTATTATTATGCTCGTCGGACAAAATAAGTGCCTCTAATTTTATTACTTCATTTTTTGCGCCAATAAAATTGGTCGCATTGTCTGAATACAAATTTTTGGCTTTACCTCTACGACCGAAAAATCTTTTTATGGCGGCTAGACACTATTCCGTGGTCAAATCTGTTACAAGTTCTAAATGAACTGCTTTAGTTGAAAGGCAAATAAAGACTACTACATAGGCCTTTATTTTATTTTTGTTCCTGTTTTTCTTCTCTTTTATATGAAATGGGCCACAGTAATCTAGACCTGTGTTTTCAAACGGGCGAGTTTGTATTACTCTGTTCTTTGGTAGATCACCCATTAGGTAATCGGGCAGCTTGGGGTTTACTTTAAAACATTTGATGCATTTACGCAA